TGAGCTGGGAAATTGTTCCTTGGCCAATCTTTGGAGTTTAGCATTTTTGAACTTTAAATCCAGGCCAGAACATAGAGATGTACCTTCTCCCCAGCATGTGTTAAGGACAAAAACTGAACTCGGTCATCTCAATTTATCACTCATGTCCTTTCTTGTTCGATTATTATTTCTTGTTCAGTTTAGTCCCATCTCTGCAGTAGGTCTAACTCCACAGCATCATAGCTGCTATCATTGTTTAACTTGGAAAGGGGTTTACACAGTTCTGTTGGATCAGAAATCCATGCCCAGAGAATCAGAATAAAAATAACCGGACCTTACGCTGTAGTGCAAGATTGAGTTAGTTGTACGATGTACTTGGAAATGCCACAGAATAAGTACTGGAGGTACAGCAGCCAGAATCATTTATTCCAGCCACATTTCAACATTGTAGCACAACTGAAATTTTGTTACATGTACACAATACCAGGGCATTCTCTACTATAACCTTTATTGACAGTCTATATAGCATAAAACCCATGACAATTCTTTGGAACTTGAAAGATGTGGAAGAGGCATATTGGACTCAGTTAATTTTCCCTTGTGCTTATAGATGATGTCAGACCTACTGAGATTTTCCAGCACTTAGTTTTTACTATAGACCATGGGTTGTTGGAGAATGGAAACCCAACATTTTCCCTCAAAAGTAGCTTTATTTGTAAAGTATTATTAAACATCAAGATGTCGTCTCATGTTACAAGATACCTTAACATCCTGAAAAGAAACTGGCTCCTGCCCATGAAGTTTCATTTGCTCCTGTATAGCCTGTATAAACAAAAAATACAGAACTACAGTAAGATTTATTTGGAGTACAAAGAATTAGTGCTTGCCTGTATGTTAAGAAGAGGTTAGCAAACGAGCAAATCATCGGATCTTAACAGAATATTCTACCTTTATGAAGATCCTATTACACCACGCTAGAATACACTTAGTTGATATTTTAAATAGTATGGGCAAAAGTACTGTGCAAACTTTTACATTGATAGGTTGCCATTCCAGCCCTCCTTCACAAGTGCAGAACTGCAAGTTCGTTTTACCATTCTAAGGAATATCATATTTACAATCACAAGTTCAGGAAAGACAGTTAATTAATCTGGGACTTTTTTGGACTGAATAGTTCGATATTATGTAAATTAAAATATTGCTTTAAAAATTTACTATAGTTCAGCATGTATAGCTGGTATTAATAAAAAAGAACCAAAGGTATTCAGAAATTGTTGTAAACAAGTAATTGCAGAAACATGATTACATTTCATATCCTTACTTTAAATACACATGTAGGTATTAGATATTGAAAGCTATATTAACTACAACTATATAGCATTGGACCACACAAAATACATTACCTTAATCAATAGGACACATTCAAGAAACTGGATGGCTAGGCATAATTTTTTTTAAACCTCAAGTGACTTGAGAGTTGAAATGTACACCAGATTGATGGAATGAAAGTACATTCTGTCTGCTGGTTGCAAGGATCCTCTATGCTACTGCTCCTATTACTGCAACACACTCTACATAGTGCCTTTACTGTCCTAAAATTTTAACAAGTGCTTTCAAACAGAAAATTGATAGCAAGCTATATATGGCAATATTAGGGTTAGTACCGTACAGTAGATTTTCAGAAGCATCTTATAGAGGAAGAGTGATAAAAGTATTTGGAGTGGGAATTCTAGAACTGGGATGCTTGCTATTTGAAACCATTGATGTTAATTAAAATCAGAGGTAATTAATAGGCCAGAATTGGAGGAGTGCAGCTATCTTGGAAGGTTGTATGGGTGGAGGAAATTAAAAAGAGGGGTTTGAAAACAATTTTGAAATTAAGATGTCACTTAACCAGGAGCTAAAATTAACCAACAAGCATAGCAGTGGTGGGTGAAAAAAATTTGGTGTGTTTGAACCAGGTTTTGAATGGCCCAAGTTTTAGAGAGGGTAGAATATAGGGGTGGAGGAAGAGAAGTTGTTTAGGAGAGCATTAGACTAGTTAACTCTAGACAGGCAAAGGTATAGATATGCGTTCAATAGCATTTGAGCTAAAGCATAGTGAAAGTCATTTAATATTATGGAGTCAATAATCAGCAGTGCCAGTAATGGTGTAGGAGGAGTTTGGAATTACATACAATCTGCTACCAAGTTTGTAAATAGTCTGGCTCTACCTCTAACACTTGTCGGGGTAGACAGTTGGTGCTGGTATTAGGGAACAAATTTTGCAGCAAAAACAAAATACAATCGCTTTGATCTTCCTGACATTTCGTTTGAGGAAATTTCTGCTTATCCACTTATGAATGCTGAAAAAGTAATGACAATTTAAAGACAGCGGTGCCTTCAAGAGAAGTGGTAAAATGGGTTATGGTAATTTTAATCCAATTCCCAGTAATCATGTGCCCATGATACTAATTATTACTTTTAGTATCCTGTTAGGAGCAATGTTCATAAAGCCTACAGAATGGCTGGAACAGTAAACAGAATTAGCATTATGCTGGTATGGCACATGGTGTGATCTTTTGAAGTTAATGCAGAGGCATATTTTTCAGAAGAGAGTTTTGTTATGCGTCAGTATTTGATAGGAGAATGCTTGATATGGACATTAGGTGCCTGAAATAAAAGAGCTCTAATCCTAACAGTGACATCTTTCACCTTGATAAAGAATTCACCAACACTCAGGCAGAAAATGATTTTGAAATATGTACATTAAACTCAATAAAAGATTTCAAAAATAAAAATAATACTCACCCTGAAGAAAAAATTCAGGGAAAATACGTTAAGATAACCCTTATTTTCCATATCCAGTAATTTGAAGATATATTGAAGTGCAGCAGGTTCCTTTCGGTTTTCCAAAGCAAGAACAAAATCCAAATATGTCTTGTAATCCTTAAGACAAGACGTCAGAAAATAAACTTCAAAAGTACGAAGTGTTTTTATTTGTCAACTTAGTGAATGACCAATTTCCTAATTTCAGATACACAAAATATATTACCAGCAATGTTACTGTTTATGTGGAGGGCAATAATCAGTCACTTCTTGCTGCACACATTTTATTCCCTCTTTATAATTACTGTCATGAAATATGGTTTCCACATTTTCCATTTTACATGCACCAGAATGAAAGTCTGACACTTGAAGCTTGTTTCTAACAGTTAAAAAAATAACATTAACCACACTCTTGCCTGCATAAAGACTCTTATTTTTGTGCTTTTTAACATCGCAGACTGAAATGAGAAGGAACTGTTTTAAAACCTGTGTTTGAAAGGATTGCTGCATGTTTTAAAAGGCAAATAAAACAGCACTCACAGCAAGCAGTATTTTGTACCAAGGAAACATAAAAGTGCAAGGAAACTCAATAATAGAACAAACTTAAAGGCTCAATTATCTTAACACACAAAGCATTTGGAATAAGGTTGACAAACTGATGGCACAAATCAAGGTCACATGAACTTTAACGCAGGGAGTCGTGGTGGTGATAGTTGCAGGGGAGGGTGTTGGAAGAGAATTTATAGGGATGTCCAGCATGGAAACAGGTCCTTCGGTCCAACTTGTCCATACAGACTAGATATCCTAAATTAATCTTGTCCCATTTGCCAGCATTTGGCCTGTATCCCTCTAAACCCTTCCTATTCATATACCCATCCACTTGCCTTTTAAAAGTTGTAATTGTACCATCCTCCATCACTTTCCCTGGCAGCTTGTTCCATACACGCACCATCCTCTCTGAAAAAGCTGCCCTTTAGATCCCTTTTAAATATTTCCCCCCTCACCTTAAACCTAAGCCCTCTAGTTTTGGACTTCCCCACCGGAGGAAAAGACCTTGGCTATGTATCCTATCCATGCTCCTCATGATTCTATAAGGTCACCCCTCAGCCTCTGATGCTGCAGAGAAAATAGCCCCAGCCTATTTAGCCTCTCCCTACAGCTCAAACCCTCCAACCCTGGCAACATCCTTGTAAATCTTTTCTGAACCCTTTCAAGTTTCATAACATTGTTCCTATAGCAGGGAGACCAGAACTGAATGCAGTATTCCAAAAGTAACTTAACCAATGTCCTGTACAACCTCAACATGACCTCCTAACTCCCATACTCAATACACTGACCAATTAAGGCAAGCATACCAAACGACTTCTTTGCTATCCTATCTACCTGTGACTCCACTTTCAAGGAACTATGAAGCTGCATCCCAATGTCTCTTTGTTCAGCAACACTCACCCAGGACCTTAGCATTAAGTGTACAAGTCCTGCCCTGATTTGCCTTTCCAAAATGCAGCACCTTACATTTATCTAAGTTAAACTCCATCTGCCACTCCTTGGCCCATTGGCTGTGTTTAAGACAAAGATAGATAGGTTCTTAATTAGTAAGGAGATCAATAGTAACAAGGAGAAGGCAGGAGAACAGGGTTGAAAAACATATCAGCCACAATATAATGTCAAAGCAGACTTGACGAGCAAAATGGCCTAATTCTCTTCCTGTATGTCATAGTCTATGGTCAAACAGTAATTGAAGTTTGAGTTACAGACTTATTGGTCTCAAAATTTGTGTACAGATACAGCTGAATGGTAACAAGAAGTTAATTGGACCATGGACTAGTGACCAGTTATCAATGACAAAAGCCTTTTGCCTGCAAACAAGCATACAATTAGTTCTGAAGTAACTGATCAGCTTTGGGCTAGGAACAAGATAGAGGAAGTAGTGTTTTGTTCTCCACCCCCACAGGAGCTGTTTCTCTGCTCTCTGAAGTCAAATCCCATTTTAAACCTTGCTTTCAAGTTCGAGTTTCCTTCTGCAGTGACTTGACAAGTCAGAGATTTTTTTACAGAGAACCAACCACTTCATGTCTCTTGAAGATCAGTGGGAGCATCTGAAGGAGGACAATGGAAAAGCAATATTCTGACCAGCATAGGAACCATAAGGATTATCTCAGCAACCTATGAATAGGAAGCACTGAATTGTCTCCCACGTTTTTTTCTGTCCATACCCTATTTTTTGCTGTCTGTTTGTCTGTGTCTGCAATGAGAGTTTATAAGGGGATTAGAGTTTTAATTTGTCGTGTTAAACGCCATGGGGTATAATTGTTTACCTGCAGATAGCATCCAGTCACTTGTAACGAATAGTGATTCTTAAGTACAGTCAAGTGTTTTCTACCAATCTGCATTTGGAAATGATGTAAATTGGAGATTTTGTGTCCTTATTTAAACACCTTTAACTTATGACAGCTCCAAGAAGTTCCAGTGTACTACCCCAGCGGATCATTACACTTGAAACAAACATTTTTTTCTCTATTCTAGCATAAAACAGCACAATATAACTTGAATGACAATATCGAAACACTAAATGTGTGGGCTTTTAACCAACTCCATTTTCGTTGCTCTTCTGGGCAAGACTATCACTTGTTTATAATTATTTATCTTCTAACAATTCAGTCATTCAAAATTACTTGGCTTAAAGGATGAACAGAATTTAATTAATATTTTCTAAGATATGAACAAAAAGCAACGTAATGGGCTTTATGTATGAGAATTTACTAAATTAAGACTAGGCTAAGCATTTAAAGCTGCACTGCAAGTCTAAGCCTTAATCCGATGTGCCCAAGATCACTAATATTCTAATATAGCCACGGAAAAGCATTCAGTTGTTGGTTACCGCAATAAAAACTCTTTCAAAAATAGTATCTAGAAATTGATTGAACCAGGAAATTTAGAGAAGGTAAAATTAAAATCCAAAACAGTTTCTCAATTTTACAAGAGATTGGTCGTTGCAGGTGAATTATTTGTCAGCAGTTACCATTTCTCCATCATATGTTAGGCACTCCTGAAAAACCCTATCCAAAAACACGCCCGTAAGAGTTCCAGTACCATAACGTGATAGCTCTTCTTTGCTGAGCATTCCATTGTGATCTTTATCTAGATTTAAGTACTGACCTAAGAGATAAAAATAATCACAACAGTAAACCATACACCATCAGATATGCTGCACAAGTTATGAAGGACCATAACAGTATGTATCCAACACATACCATATACTCTCAATGCAGAAGGTGCAGAAAACCAATTTGATTCTTGACTTTCCTTAGAGAGCTCCTCATCTCTGAGCTACAAATACACACACGAAAGCAAAAACAGTTACAGAAACATTCCATTGCTATCAGTAGATCATATTTAAAAATTCAAACTTTCTCCAAAATTACCTCCAACAAATCATCCAAAAAGCTGCAAGCCAAAATATCTTGGATTTTTATCTTGCCTAGAACAGTATTAAATATATGAAAGTCAGGTTAGTTTGAATCATCAGCACAAATACAGGGAGATACTGTCCTCTATTGTAAAGATGAAGTGCAAATCAACATATTCTAGCAACTTTAATTCCGATTGATTCAATCCGATAATTCAGACTGCCACATTTGAATTAAATTTAGGTAGTCTCAACCCAGTTTTCTGCAGTGTTGAACTTGTTCTGATAATTCAATATAAACTGGTAATTTTAAAAAAATGACTGGTGAAAGAAGTAGAAATTTTTCCAGGTACTTTAGGACTGCTCTTTAGAAGCTGAATTACATTATTGGGAACTTTGCTTGATGATCACTAAACCGCATCTTAAAATTGCTCACTGCCAGCAATATATATCAACATAACAAGTACCGCACAGCTCCTAAAAAAAATGAAATGGCAAAATGCTACAAAGATTAGCTCTATATTCTGACAGATTTAGAAAGTGATACAAAAACCATTTACTTCAGATTAATTCTTTTGCAAATACCGAGTAGGATGTTGAGACTAAATTAAGATTTATTTATAATTTTTTGTGTAACAAAACAAAACAACAACCTTTCTTAAAAATAAGTAATTTGTCTTTTCTCCACAATTATCAGAAATCATTTTACTCGTTGCGTCTAAAACTGAAATAAATTGCTGACTTATACTATTGTTAGTTTTCAAAATTTATATGAAACTCCAGTTTCCAATATTAAAAATATTAGTTCTTATGAATAAGAAGTAATTATTAAAACAAGTTACATATTTAGGTAATTTAGCAAACATTAAATTGTTAATTTATGTATAAAATATACAGATTGAATTTAGGAGAATGTTAGTTTCAGTAATTCAATAAAATAGCCCTGAACTTTTAATGAAAAGTTTTTACTTGAATTACCAATTAAGAATGATGTGAACCTCAAATGCTCTTAACAAGTAGGTTTCAGCATATTGCGCCTGACTGCACTCAACACGGCATTGCTGTAACAGCTCAGAGTCATACCTTAGTATCGGGGTAAGAAAACAAGTCACACTCTCTCAGTTAATCATAATAGCCATACAGAAGACTGCTATCTAAAATAGAGAAGACGATAAGCATACCCAAAAAGAACAAAATATTTACATGGCTAAGACATGATAAACGTTACAGGGTTTACAACTTAGGCGAGGAAATATGAACTTGCCTGTTCTGAGTGGGTCGAGGAAGAAAAAGAATTTTCTAACAGCAGTGCACACGTAGAATGAATAGAAGGACTTTTCTAAGCCATCTAGCTGTGGTAAAGTTGGAATCAACTCCAAAATGTAATTTTCCAAATCCTGTTGATTTATTTTAACGTCAAGTTAATATACCATAAAACACAATGAGATTGAAATACGGTAAAAATTGTCAGATTTGAACATAAAGGTAGGATACTTACAGATTCACGAAGATATCCTTGACCTGCTACATCATACAAACTCAGCCCTATCCTTGTCTGATGCAACCAAACTAAAGATTAAACAGATTTAGTACGGTTGTGTTATAACTAAGATTGTGTAAAAACAATACAAATTTAACTATTAATTTGCATCTTAAGAGTCTGCTACCTTTTCGCATGACATAGTTGAAGAACTGCATTATGGAGATCCTTCCATATGCATCATTGTGCAAGAGTTTTGCAAAAATCTTAGCTGCAAAGAACTGCCTGTTGGATAACATTAAAATGCAAGTAGTGATAGCAAAAAGATCATGTGAAAATGCTCACTAAAATAGAATTGAAATGGAAAGCCACAGAATCAACATTTAAAAGTATTGTTTCTAATAAAATACATGATTAAGCAATGCCAAGCAACAGACTGTGTTTCTTCTTTCCTGCTTTCTGCTGTAACTTGGCACAGAGATTGTTATTTTTAGTCTGACAGCACAGTGCCAATAGGCATTCTGGGGACTCACATGAGCAATGCAAATCAGGAACACCACAGAATTAGGGGTGGGAGTAGGTAATTCAACCCTTCAAGCCCGCTCTGCCTTTTAACATGATCATGGCTGATCTTATCCCAATCTCAACTCCACTTTGCTGCCTGCTTCCCATCGCCCTTTATCCTGCTTTTCATTAGAAACATATCTATTTCTTTCTTGAATTTGTCAATTGATTCTGCCTCTATTCTGCACATGTATGGTTAGGGAAGGAAACAAAGTATGATCTAAGTATCAATTACACACAATGAATAATCACACTGAAATCTGGGGCTACTGAAAATAAAGCAAGATGATACTGTTGAGGAAATTCTGCTATAATTATTGTTTAGCTAACGGTACCTACTTAATTCGATTATGTTCTTAATTCAGGTTAAGACGGGTCAAATTTGAGACATTTCTATGATCTATATTGTTAAAATCTTTATTGTCAAAAATACACACCAGAATAGTTTTCATTGCTTAATTTCTTACATGCACTGGACTTAAATCAGTAAGAAAATGATTTTAATATCTAGAGGTTTTCTTTTAACTTTATCACAAAAGATGCTCATAAATGAAACTTACTTGCATTTCTGTCCGGCTTTCTCTTTGACCTCCAGAAAACTTTCATAATTTATCATTGCTTCCTCTCCTATCAGAGGAGGGGTTTGATGTTTGTCTAGTAAGAACCACAAATTCTATAAAACAAAATAAAAAAGGAATATTATGCATATAGATCCACATTTGACTATAACTATTTGAGACTCAAAGTGTCCTTTGGAAGTCCAGAATAGAAGCGTGAGCTAAGAGCTAAAAAGCCCCTTTATTGCACTTGCCAGATTTTACTGCCAAAATAGTGTTGATATGCATCATCGTCTCTAAAAAGTACTACAATGACAAAATATTTTGCAGTTTAAATTATAGATTCTTTCAAATCTGCTGTGTTTAGAACATGTTCACAAACCAACTGGTTCAGTGATTCACTGTTGTGGCCTTGCAAAATGTATCTGAAATTGCTTTCACTCCTGTCAGCTTGAAACACAGAAAATTACGGCATAGCAAAGTAACCAATAATTCCAGCTCTAATTCAACAATCACACACAAACCACCCTTGGGTAACCGTGTGAAGTTTGCACATTCGCCCCGTGTCTGCATCGGTTTCCTTCCGTCCAAAGATGTGCTGTATAGGAGGATTGGCCCTGCTAAACTGCCTATAGTGTACAGGGATGTGTAGGGTAGGTGGATTAGCCATGGGATAATGCAGGGCTACAGGGACAGGGTAAGGGGCTGGGGTGCTCTTTGGAGGGTCGGTCGACATTGACTCGATGGGCCGAATGGCCTGCTTCCATGCTGTAGTGATTCTATGAAAAGCAAACTGAAATGGAAACTGCTTCAAATTTGCAACTTGAAAGGCAACTTATGACCGAGGTTAAACAAAGTGCTAACCAGTTGGAGGCTCGGTGGCATTCTTGGTTCTTATTTGTTCTGTTCCCTATCTATAATTGGCTGCCTATACCTGAAATAACTTTATATTTCACTTTGTCTGATTTTCAGCTGTTGCATTCAAAGACAAAATTATTTTAAATGAGTTTTATTTCAAATATATGTTAAATAACCAAAACTGTTTTGACATTTACTTTAATAACATATGGTGTCATGAATACTAGGATTTCATCTCATGATTACTGTCAAAATGGCTTCTTTTTCAAAAGGACAATTCACTATTATTACACATCCAATGAAATCTTTTCTAGAAGATAAACAACAAACTTCGTTTTAGCCAGCATCTTACGAACTGGTACTCTCGATAAACCAGTAAAAATTATACACCTCAAATACAGAGAAGTTTTATTATTCTGTTCAATTATTAAAGTTTTCTAATTTATTTAAATCAATGTAAATATATTTGTTGTTCAATCATATGGCCACACAAAATCTCAACAATCGATTCAATTTCAAGTCAAATTCACTTCAAACACCGCGATCTACCTGGATGTCCAAGTACTCAGACAAGGGTGAGTGAGAAGGCTCTCTGCCAGTAAGTTTTATTTAAAGCAAAGTTGCTTTATCATTTAAGTGATGCATATTGTAAAAGTATAACAGATGCGTGTAACTCTGGCATTACTTTTCTTTTACTTAGTGTGTTTTTACAATGATTGTGTAGACCTCTCGATTATCCGGAATATTTGATCAATTGGCACACATCTGGTCCAATAAGTGCCAGTAATAAATGTTTGCTGTATTTTTTTTTTTTCAAAATTTCTCTCATTCTACACAATTGAGCAACAGGCCGCAGGTGCAAGCAGATTTGTGGTTGCTATTAAAGAATACACCATTCTGCTTTGTAAATAACTCTCTTTTCTCCCGAGGCTCCATACCTTCCCAACTATATTATCAACAAAGAAGTCTGAGATACTTTTTTTTTCATAAATACAAGGAATTTACCCAATCCTTTAAAAACAAAATCTAAATGTACTACTAGTTTTTATTGAATGGCAATCTAATTTATATTTTTATTTTTTTAATTTTGTAACATTTCACTATTGCTTCATTAATAGCAACATTTATTTACAAATAACCATTAACATAAAATATCCCAAGGTGCTTTACATGGGAAGTATAAAGCAATGGCACCAAGGAGACGAGGACAGATGACCAAAAACTTGGTCAAACATTTGGTCACAGATAGATTTTAAACAGCACCTTAAGGAGCAAAGGTGAGATAGATCGGCAAAAGGGCTAAAGCAAATTAAAGAAGTGTAGATATCTTGGAAGATGGTGGGGATTCAAGGAGATTACAGAAAAAAGGTTAGCCACAGAAAACAAGGATTAGAATTTTAACACCAATGTCTTGCTTAAATGGGATCAATTTAAGGGTAATCCAATATAGGGGCTATATCTGAAGGTACTGTTCACAGGTAAAAGGACATTGACAAGTGGGAGGCATTCAAGACAGTGATGCTGAGAGTTCAGAGGAATTTTGTTCCTGTTAGAGTGAAGGGTAAGCTGGTAAAATTAAGGAACAATGGACGAATAAAGCTTTTGAGGTTCTAGTCAAGAATAAAAAAAAATCTTTTATTAGATATAGACAATTTGGTTCAATTGAATTTCTTAATCAATATGAAGAATGTAGGGGCATTCTTAAGAGAGAAATCAGGAAGGCAAAGAGGGGATATGTGATAGCAGTGGCAGGTAAGATTAAGGATAATCCAAAGAGATTCAACAAATACATTAAGAGCAAAAGGGTAACTAGAAAGGGGGTAGGACCTCCTAAAGATCAAGGAGGTCATCTCTGTGTTGAACCCCAGGAGATGGGACAGATACTAGATGAATATTTTGTGTCAGTTTTTACTGTGGAGAAAGAAATGGAGGCTAGACAATGCAAAGAAATAAACTTTGATGCTTTAAAACAGTTCACATTATAGAAGAGGAAGTTTGGGAGGTCTTAACAGAACATAAAGGTGGATAAATCTCAGGGACTTGATCTAATGTTTCCCAGAACGTTGTGGGAAGTAAGGGAGCAAATTACGAGGCCCCTTGCAGAAATATTTGCATCACCTATAACTACAGGTGAAGTACCTGATGACTGGAGGGTGGCTAACGTACTTTTGTTTAAGAAAGGTAGTAATGAGAAACCAGGGAATTATAACCCGAGAGTCTGACTTTGGCTGTGGGTAAATTGTTGGAGGTGATTATAAAAGATAGGATTAGTGGACATTTAGAGAGGCAAAAATTGATTAGGGACAGTCAGCAATGGTTTGTTGCAAGGAAAATCATGTCTCACAAACTTGATTGCATTTTTGAGGAAGTTACCAAAAAGATTGATGATGGCAGAGGAGTGGACGTTGTTTATTTGGATTTTAGTAAAGTCTTTGACAAGGTTCCGCATGGTAGACTAATTGGTAAAGTTAGGTCACATGCGATTCAGGGTGAGCTTGCCAATCGGATACATAATTGGCTTGACAGCAGGAGACAGAGTAACGGTGGAGGGTTGCTCTTCGGGCTGGATGCCTGTGACCAGCGGTGTTCCACAGGGATTGGTTTTGGGTCCTCTTTTGTTTGTCATTTATATAAATGATTTGGATGAGAACGTAGAAGGCATAGTAAGTTTGCGGATGACACCAAAATTCGTGGCATTGTAGACAGTGATGGTAGTTTTCTAAGATTATAAAGGTATCTTGATCAAATGAGTCAATGGGCTTAAAATGGCAGATTGAGTTCAATCTGGATAAATGCGAGATATTGCATTTTGGTACAACAAACAAGGATAAGGCTTATACAATTAATGGTAGAGCCTTGGATAGTGTTGTAGAAGAGAGGGACCTAGGGCTGTAATTCTATGATGTTTGCATTAAACATAGGCAGGATGGTTAAAAAGGTGTTTGTACGCTTGTCTTCATTGCTCAGTCCTTTGAGTATAGGGGTCGGGACGTTATGTCGATGTTGTACGGGACATTGGTGAATCTTCTGGAATACTGTGTCCAGTTCTGGTCGCCCAGTTATAGGAAAGATAATTATCAAGCTGGGGAGGGTTCAGAAGAGATTTACCAGGATGTTGTTGGGTATGGAAGGTTTGAGTTAAAAAGGGTGGATAGGTTGGTTCTTTAATCACTGGAGCGTAGGAGGCTGAGAGGTGACCTGATAGAAGTTTATAAAATAACGAGAGGTATAGAGTTGATAACAGTTGTCTTTTCCCTAGGATGGGGAATTTCAAGACTAGGGGGCACATTTTTAAGAGGAGACAGATTTAAGAAAAGACATGAGGCAAATTTTTTTTACACAGAGGATGGTTCACGTGTGGAATGAACCTCCTGAGAAAGTGGCGGATGCGGGTACAATTACAACTTTTAAGAGACATTTGGATGGATACATGAATAGGAAAGGTTTGGAGGGACATGTGCCAGGAGCAGACAGGTGGGACTAGTTTAATTTGGAGTTATGTTCGGCATGGACTGGTTGGACCAAAGGGTTTGTTTCCATGCTGTATGACTTTATGACTCTAAGTCAATAGAGTCAAGTCCAGTGTTAAAATCAGAACTCCTGTGAAATAAACTTCACGTAGACCCACTCATTAGTTAACACTAGTCAGCCAATAAACAAATAAAGCAAGTAACTACACCATCTGTCACTGGTTTAAAATAATATTTCCAACAGTTTCCTTCCTTTTCTGTTGGTAAAATATATTTAGTATTATTGAATTGAGAAAACAAATGCAGAGATGAGATATTGATCACATGTGAAAGACACAATTCCACTTGCTAGTTATTGAGGAAACTTGCAGCAGCATAGAATGTTATTGCAACACCTAACAGAGTTAAACTTTTCAATTGTTTTCTATGATAGCCCAACTAGGTAAAAACTTAAGGTTTTTCAGACCTGTAGCTCTTCATTATCCAACAATTCTCTACTCTTCCTTTGAAGAAATACTGCCCTGGATTCTTCTCTTAATTTCTGCAACAGAATTTCATCCTCTGCTGGAAGCTGATACAGAATTGGAAGGAAAGTTTATTAAAATATTTACATGGATTGAAATATGCTGTTTAATTACATTTTTAACCCTACAGAGAAATCAGCACATAAAATACCAAAGGCAGTATAAAATCCAACTAAATTACCAATTCTGATACATTCTAAACGAAAATTTCTGTTTCTGCAGGATTTAAAACTTTGCCCTGCATATTGTTGCTGTTCATTAATAAAATTCATTCTGATCTAGATTTTGATTTGACTCTCCAATACATTTACTTCATATAACTGCAGAATACAATTATTTGCTTTTGCCTTTTAAGGTGTCTTTTCACCTTCATTTTTTTGCCCATTTTCTCTCTTGGTTCAGAATCATTCATTGGTCAAAAATTGCCAGGATAATTAATTTCCATGCTATTGCCACTGTTAACTTGGTTACAAGTGGCTGCTGGGAAGCAGTGGATTAGGTGCCATTTAACCCTTTACTGCAGATCTTCACTCAACCGTAGGATACCAATTTATTTTAGGAACTCATCGCAAGGCTATCCACATATTGTGGCACAACATGAACGCAGTTCAACAGATGTGTGCTTTTCAATGAAAGGCTGTGGCTCTCTCACAGCTCCAGGGACCCAGGTTCAATTCTAGCCTTGGGTGAATGTCTGTCTGGAGTTAGCAAATTCTCCCCATATGTGTGTGGGTTTCAACCGTGTGTTCCACAGTCGAAAGATGTGCAGGTTAGATGAATTGGCCACGGGTTAATGCAGGGCTACAGGGATAGGATGGGGTCTGTGCTGACTTGATGGACCGAATGGCCTCTTTCTGTACTGTAGAGATTCAATGATTCTATTTTTCCAGAGTTGGTCATTTAAAAGTTGTTGAACATTAAGCAGGCCATGGAATTTTAAAAGAGTTACTGTTGAGCTCATTATGCACTTAAAACCACAAAGAAATTGTGGTAGTGCTGACTTTTAATTCACATCAGTATCCATGATCAATAATATGAATCAATTGTTAGTTAACCTTTGTTTCGAAACTGGACAGAATCTAAATTCAAAGTTGAAGCTGAACAATAATAATAATTTTTTTTTAAGAAGATAGAATGTACTAACCACATCTGTATAAATGAAATTTCTTCTTACAGGTCCTCTTACTTCAATTCACACAAGAGGAGGAGACTGGAAATGACATTTTAGAAACCAAGGCATCCCTCTAAGATTCCACATGGAACCACCTAATTCAATGTGTTATTGAGTCATCAAACTCAGGAAAATTATAGATTTATCTTTTGTGGGTGTTGAGTTAGTTTATCACAGTAGGACAGATGAACGGATTGTCTCTCCAAACGGGGAATGAGGTACACGTCTACCATGTTTCCTGCTCAAAACTGTTGTGCAGCGAGACCTGCTGGAAGACATGTGGGATATAATTGGCCAGCACAAGGACTGATTGCCAACCTTGGAAAGTATCCCAATCCACACAAACTGTTAGGTCACGCTTCAACAATGACCACTTGAGAAGACCACAGATGGAGAATTGACTGGCATTCTTGAAATTTTACCCTTAAGAGTCATCCTTTGGGAAAAGCAGTGGGAAATTAAAGTTTTCTGGGAAATTAAAACCTTTACCAGAATAAAAAGGCCTTCAATTATTGTAGTAGAACAATAAAATGGATTTAAGGTAAACATTAACATTTATTTAAGATTACCAGAGATTTAACAAATGAGATTGTAATTTCCTGAGTTCTGAGGAAGGGTCACCGGACCCGAAACATTAACTCTGATTTTTCTTCACAGATGCTGCCAGACCAGCTGAGCTTTACCAGCAACTTCTGTTTCTGTTCCTGATTTACGGCATCTGCAGATATTTCGGTTTTTATTAAGATTGTAATTTTACAGAGTAGAAAGTGTTATTTATTTGTTAATTGAAATAAAAAAGACTTACCCTATAATAAAATCTTGGGATGCTTTTGTAAGATAGATTGTTCTTTTTCCTGCCCCCTCTCCATTCAACGTAATATTTGGTGAAGAGATCCATCTCATTATCCTTTAGTTCTTGATCTGTTGTTTTAGCTGTTTCATTTGAAATTAGATAGAACCATTAACACTTCTCTCAGGAAGGATAATGTCATGAACTTACTTACATAATTTTTAACGTCATATCTGGATGTACAGTCATAGAATCAGAGTCATACAGCATAGAAACAGGCCCTTAGGTCCAACTCGTCCATGCCAACCAAGTTTCCCAAACTAAATTAGTCCCATTTGCCTGCATTTGGCTCATATCCCTCCAAACCTTTCCTATTCATGTATCTGTCCAAATGTCTTTTAAATGTTGTAATTAAACCTGCATCTACCACTTCCTCTGGTGGTCCATTCCATATACGAACCACCCACCACGTGTAAAAGTTTGCCCTCAGGTCGCTTTTAAGTCTTACTCCTATCAGCCTACCCTAAGTGAAAGACTTTTGCTATTCACCTTGTCTATCTCCCTCATGATTTTATAAACTTCTATTAGGCCACCCCTCAATCTCCTATACTACAGTTAAAAAAGTCCTGGCCGATCCAGCCTCTTCTATTAACTGAAACCCTCCATTCTCGGTAATATCCTTGTAAATCTTTTCTACACCCTCTCAAATTTAATAATATCCTTCCTATAGCAGAGCAAACAGTACTGGACACAGTACTCCAGACAAGGCCTCACCAACATGCTTTATAACCTCCAAATAAAAACCAAAAGAACTGCGGATGCTGTAAATCAGGGACAAAAACAAAGTTCCTGGAAAAGCTCAGCAGGTCTGGCAGCATCTGTGGAGGAGAAAACAGAGTTAACGTTTCAGGTCCAGTGACCCTTCCTCAGAACTGATGGCGGCTGGGAAAACGTCAGTTTATATGCAGAAAATAGGGAGGTGGGTGGGGTAGGGAGTAAACGATAGGATAGAGCCCAAAGAGAGAGAAAGACAGTTGGACAGACAAAGGAGGGTGAATAGTTGTTAATGGGGATTGTTAGTGACTAACAACACGGGGTGTGTACCCCCTGGGATAAACCAGGAAACCACAGGGCAGCAAGTCTAACATCAGTGATAGGGAAATAATTGAAAATAGTTTGGAGGGACAGAATTAATCTCTGCTTAGAGAGGCATAGATTAATCAAGGACAGTCAGCATGGCTTTGTGAGAGGGAGATAATGTCTAACAAATTTGATTGAATTTTGAGGTGACTAGGCGCTTAGCTAAGGGTAATGCAGTTGATGTGGTCCACATGGGACTTCAGCAAGGCTTTTGACAAGATTTTGCACGTCAGATTGATTACGAAACAAAGAGTCCATGGGATCCAGGACAACTTTGCAAATTTGATTCAAAATTGGTTTAGTAGCAGAAAGCAAACAGCGACAGTCAAAGTGTGTTTTTGTGACTGGAAACCCATGCCCATTGGCATTCCCTTACTGTTTGGTGTGTACATTAATGATCCAGACATGAATGTAGGAGAATGATCAGTAAGTTTGTAGATGATAAAAATTAGTGGTGTAAATAGCAAGGCAGGAAGCGTTAGACTACAGGATGATATGAATGGCTGGTCAGATGGGCTAAACAATGGCAAATGGATTTTAATCCTGAAAGGTACAAAGTAACACGTTTTGGGAGGTCTAACAAGACAAGGGAGTACTTGTTGAATGGAAGGACATTAGGAAGTCATTAGGAAGACATAAGGAGGGACCATAGTGTGCCTGTCCAGAGATATTTCAAGGCAGCAGGACAGGTAGTTGAGGTGGTTAAGAAGGTATAAAAGATATTTGCCTTTACTAGTCAAGGCACTGAATACAAGAGCAGGGAGATTATGATGGACCTGTACTTATTAAATCAGAGCTAGACTACCGTGCGCAGTTCCGTTCACTACACTATAGGAAGGTTGTGATTGGAATACGGTCAGTGGAAAGGAGATTCATCACGATGTTGCCTGGGTTGGGGCATTCCAGCTATGAAGAGATACTGGATATGATGGAACAAGGTGCAGAGCTGGATGAACACAGCAGGCCAAGCAGCATCATAGGAGCAGAAAGGCTGACGTTTCGGGCCTAGACCCTTCATCAGAAATGGGGGAGGGGAAGAGGGTTCTGAAATAAATAGGGAGAGAGGGGGAGGCGGATAGAAAATGGACAGAGGAGAAGATAGGTGGAGAGGAAACAGACAGGTCGTAGAGGCGGGGATGGAGCCAGTAAAGGTGAGGAGTTAGGGAGGGGATAGGTCAGTCCAGGGAGGACAGACAGGTCAAGGGGGCGGGATGAGGTTAGTAGGTAGGAGGAGGGGATAGGTGGGAGGAAGAACAGGTTAGGGAGGCAGGGACGAGCTGGGCTGGTTTTGGGATGCGGTGGGGGGAGGGGAGATTTTGAAGCTCTGCACCTCGTTGTCTCAGATTCTCCAGCATCTGCAGTTCCTACTATCTCTGAATATGATGGGGTTGTTTTCCTTAGAACAGGAAAAACTGAAGGCGGGAGGTGGGGGAAGACACCGGATTGGATTGTACAAAGTTATGAGCGGAATACATAGTCTAGATAAGTAGAAACTTTGCCCTTTAGAAGAGGATCAATAACTAGAGGCCACAGTCTTAAGGAAAGGAACAGGAGGTACTTTTTCATCCAGAAGATGTACGTATATGGAACTCACTCCATGCAAGAGTGACTGAGGAATGAACCATCAAAACAGCTTTAAAAAAAATGTTTAGAAGACCATTTGAGAAGCTATTTTGTTCAAAACTAGGGCTCCAGTTGACTTTCTTGCTTTTTGGATGTTGTCTGACCTGCTCTGCTTTTCCAGCTCTACATTTACTGACTCTAGCTTTCAGCATCTTACAACAGATATATGTTTGATCACCTGTGCGGAGGCTGATATCAGAAATGCAGCTCCCCTACAGGAACGCCGAATCTATTCAACGGAAATTGCTGGAAATATTCATTAGCATTCCTGAAGAGAGAGACACAGAGCCAACATTTCGGGTCTGTGAAACTCCGGCGTACACTTACATTTCTGGGAGGCCACAGCCACCAAGCGATCCTTTAACGCCCGTTTCCAGTCGCTGGCCGATGTCTCGCTCTCGACCCCGACCCCAGCAACCGCCATTCTTCCCGACACTCTGACCCCTGACCCCTTCACCATGACCAATCCACGTGCTTGGTCGTCACGAGGAGGCGGGGCCTGGTGGAGGGGGAAATCGGTTGAGGTCGCGTGGCCTGACGGTTTGTGACTTGAGGGATGTTTACAGGCGTTTGTATGGCCCTCAGGGCGATAAATATGGACAGTAATTAGACCCGAAGGGCTACTGGCCAGGGGAGAACACCCTTTCGCGGAACGGAAGTGCCCCTTAGTCTGTGATTACAGTGATAGCCCCTTCACTGCTCATCATGTTGGTTCAGCCTTTCCGTAGTTTGGCGCCCCGTTTGCAGCGGGTCCTTGGCTCACTCCCTGCAAACCAAGGTTTATCGAGGCTCTTACCATCTTGTGTTGCCCTTCAGCTATGCACTTCAAATAATTTAACGTCATCTGAGTTCAAACAGAGCGATGCGAACCAGAGGAAAACATCAAAAGCTCAACTAGAAAGAATTCACCGCGCTGACACCGGCTCTTCGTTTTCTGTATTTACAGCCGGGGCAGCCAGAAAAAGAGCAGAGTCCGCAAAAAGCCAAATGGGTGTCGAAATGGCTGATGCTTCAACAGTGACAAAAGTTACAAAAACGTTAGTTCCACTGAAGCCTTTAAATGTAGATGATTGGAAGAAATTGAAAAAGGAATCGTACAATAAAACTCGTTTTGAAGTAAGCATGATGGAAAAACTGCTGTCTGCTCGTGCTGATATTGATGTGGCTAAATCGCTTTTAGTTTTTGTGACAATGGAAAGTGGTACTGTTGAGTATGAACTCCTTCTGAAGTATTTGGCACTGTGTGTCCAACAGCAGCATCTGACTGAAGTACTTGATTTATATGTCATGATGAAATCTAGATTCAAAGTGTTGGAAATTGGAGCTTACAGCCTCTTCATCAGTGGTTTTTGCAAGACAGATCATTGGAGGGAGGCTGTGGTATTTTTAGAATCAATTAAAAAAATGGTTACCCCATCACCAAGAAATTATGGGGATATCATTATTTCTGCACTCAAGCATAAAGATGTAGAAACTGCATGGATATTGCTTAAAGAAATGGAAAGCAAAAACTTAAAACCAACTGAGAACACATTGCAAGCATTTTTTGATTATGGCAAGTCATTTTATGATGATCAGTATGAAAATAAGATAATGTATATCCTCTTCTACCTGAGAAACAATCAGATATATCCTGGGGAAGGTTTAATGCACAGTATCCACTCATGGTTTGAAAGGTAAATATTTAGTTTCTATATGTGCTGTTTTTGTGAAGTTGAATTGAAATTTGGTAAATTTAATGTGTTTTAACACACGATGCTGTGAATTAAATTCTATTACCCACATAGATGTTGCTCATTCATATTTGCTCACTAACACTTTTTATGGCTGTGGGTTTCACCAGGTAATTAGGATCAGTGTTTGCTCATTTATAGGATCTTTTTTGTGTGCCATGTGTTGCATTTTATATTATTTTCCTGGATTTTATGGCTTAAATGTAAATTTTTAAACAATTGAATCACATGGAATATCCTCACCATTAATTATTATTGTTGCCTGTTTGTAATAAGAGGTGTCTGTTGTTGTATCCTTTAGTTTACCAACCCATTTCAAAATTAAAACCACATTGGTCAAGATAACATTGTGATTATGAAAATAAACTTCTATCAACCTGTTTGCCTCTGGAGGCCTGGATTCTACCACTGTATCCACAAGACCCTAACATTGTGATTATACATATTTAATCCATTTGTTTGAAAGTGACTCATGAATGTGATCATTGAATCCAAGCTTGGACTCGAGTCTGCATCAGTTTGTAACAGCATCTAGCGTTGTGATTATGTATTGGTACTGAAAAGTTATTTGCGTTGATTCACTCCATTAATTAGTTTGTTTGAACTATTGTGAAAAACCTTTCTGTGGGATGTTAGGAACGTAACCTGTCATTTATACTAATCAATTCTAAATCATCAAAATAAAACGTTGAAGCACCAAAAACATTGTTCAATGGGTGTGGGATGAAATGGGCTCCATTTAAAAATCACTACCTATTCATTACAATATTATTGAGATTGGGGACTTGCAGTATCTGAATACTTTCATATTGGTTAACACAAAATGGCTTGCCACAATTAAATTGCTTGAAAGGTGACTACATTTGGTCAGCTATAAAGTATGAGATCTGTGCATCTGAGAATTTTCATACAGAGATCCCAATTTCAACTACATTGTTAATCGGTATTTCAGTTTTATGTTTGTATGATCACACTGGCATTTAAGCAAATGTTAGGACAGTGTGAACAAAAACTTCCTTTGAGATGGCTATTTCACAATAAAAATCATTTTTAAGTTTAGCTTTTTTTATATTGCTGTTTTATACTTGTTATATTTTAATTTCAGCATCCCAGGCAACCAATGGGAAGGGCATGAAACAACCATATTACACAGGTATGTTTTTGTATTTGAAAGTATTCAAACTATCTCTTACCTTCTGAACTGTTTCATTTAAACTTGTTATTATTCTTGGAATATTAGTGGTTTAAACACTACAATTAAAAGAAAATTCACTATTTATGTACTCTCTCAACTTTTTTATTCCTGATCTGCTATGAGTTATATGATCCCAGCTAAGTTGAACTGGGCATTGTTATAATAAAGTCACAACCTTTCAAACTTTTACTTCCAACATGTGTTTTTTAAAAGAGGATAGTCACAGCCAAGGATGACTATACAGGTAGACTCTGCTGTGTCTGGACCCAGGGAACTTCACCTGTACATGGTGTACAGGCAGAAAGATTAAAAAGGAGATAACAACAATATGCAGCATACTCAACTCTTCTCTCAGCAGAAAACCATCTCCTGCAGACGTTCAGGAGGCTGGAATAACACAGCAAGCCAGGCAGCATGTTGAGGAAAGGAGCAGTCAACATTTTGGGTATTACCCTTCTTCAGGACTGGATGTGGGGATAGAGGGAGAGTTGGTAGCAGAATGGTGGTGATAGGTGGGCACTGGTAGTAGGTACGACCTTGTTGGTCTGGGGCTGGAAAGGGAGCTAGGGGGTGAGTGGGTGGGAGGGAAGGTTTACCATTCCAGGGATTATACAAATGAAAATGTTAAAAACCAACTGCAGTACTGGTCTTGGTGTGTTAGTGGCTTGATAAAAGCGAACTATATTGTTCATATCCTAAATGTGACCTTTGTATTTCTGTGTCAAGGTGTGCAAATAGGTATTTGTTAGTATAGAACTTGAATAATGCTGGAAAAAAAGACACATTTGGCCAAAGGCTTTCATTTTGTGCTCGTCAGGATATTTTGTAAAAATACCAGTGTCAGGGGGAACAACTTTTACTGTATGAGAAGAGCATGCAAATTAGTTGATAGAGGTGTTGCCTTAGAAAAAGCACCAATTAAATGATTACTAACAGTTAATTGCCAAGGTTTTCTTAAATTTAAAACAGCTGCTTGGCTATGGTCAATACATTGTCTTGAGGAATGAATCAGAAAATGGCTGTTGCTTGTTTTGTTCAGTTGAAACAGTTGCAGTGTGTTTGTGAATAAGATACTATTGTAGTGTTGGGAGAGGGATAAATCTTGGTCTGGAAACTTCCCTTTCTTTACTTTGAATCTGTGAGGTTTGTATATCCATCTGAACAAGCAGATGAATTTCTCTTTAACATCTCATCTGAAAGATAAAATTGGAATGAAAAAGATGTAAAGCTTGAGTGTGCAGTTTAGCAGAATTAATATTCACTATAAAAGAGGTTCCAATGTGCAGGTTTTCTTTATCATTTGAGTCACTTTTGAAACTATCTGCCAATTACAGCCATCTATGCAATCTGAGAAAGACATTTGAGTGAGCAGTATTTCCTACTGTATTCAGTTCGTAATCTGAAACTTACTAAGAAGAAACAGCAATGTGTTGTCATAGTAATGCCTTGTGATTCCCTCATGATCAAACAGGAAGGCATTTTGCAGAGACCCTGAAACAGGCAATTCATTTTTCTTTTTGATAGAAGAGATGAGTACATGTCGAATAAGGTTAAGTAGGCATAAATCTCCTATTTCTATGCGCTCCCCCTCTGCCAAATATTCTGCATTTTGCACAAAAGATTTCTGTATCCATTGGGATGCAATTTTGCCCCTTTGCAGACGTCCACACAAAGCTAAGTTTCCATATAGTGCATTTAAGCAGAAGACAATTTGGCATGTTATGAAAACCTGAACATATCTAAAATTGCCACCCAGCACCAATTGTTGTATTACAGTTTTCTGTCTTCACTAAAGAGGATACAAATAATCTTCAGGAAATGCTAGAAGGACAGAGGGTCAAGCATGAAGGAGGAACTGAAGGAAATCCTTATCAGTCAAATGGTGTTGGGGAAATTGATGGGATTAAAACCTGTTAAGTCCTCAGGGCCTGATGCTGTACATCCCAGACTACTTAAAGAAGTTGCCCTATAAATAGCGGATGCATTGGTGATCATTTCCAGCAATCTATAGACTCTGGAAGAGTTCTAATGGACTGGAGGGTAGCTAATGTAACTCCACTCTTTAAAAAAATGAGGGAGAGAAAATGGGAAATTATAGGCCAGTTAGTCCGACAGCGGTATTGGGGAAAATGCTGGAGTCATTTGTTAAGGATGTAATAACTGAGCATTTGGAAAGTGGTGACAGAATCAGTCCTTGTCAGCATGAATTCACTAAAGGGAAATAAAGCTTGACAAATCTTCTGCCATTTCTTGAGGATGTGACCAGTAGAGTAGATAATGGTGAATCCGTAGATGTTGTGCATCTGGACTTTCAAAAGGTTTTTGTCAAGGTTCCACACGAGATTAGTAAGGAAAATGAAAGCTCATGGTATCAAAGGTAATGTATGGACATGGATAGGAAACTGCTTGGTAGACAGGAAGCAGCAAGTTGGGTCCTTTTCATAGTGGCAGGCAGTGATGAGTGGGGTGCTGCAGGGTTCAGTGCTGGGACCTCAGTTGTACACAATATACATTAACAATTTGGATGAAGGAATTGAATGCCACATCTCCAAATTTTCAGATGAGACAAAACTGGGTAGCAGTGTACGCTGTGAGGAGAATGCTAAGAGGTTGCAGGGTGACTTGGATAGATTGGCTGAGTGAGCAAATACTGGCAAATGCAATATAATGTGGATAAATGTGAGGTTATCCACTTTGCTCACAAAAACAGGCAGGCAGATTATTATCTAAATGGTGCAGTTTAGGAAAGGGTGAAGTGCAACAAGACCTGGGTGTCATGGTGGAACAGTTGCTGAAGGTTGACACGCAGGTGCAGCAGACAGTGAAGAAAGCTAATGGAATGCTCTCCTTCATAGCAAGAGTATTTGAGTATCAGAGTAAGGATGTCTAGCTGCAGTTATACAGGGCTTTGGTGAGGCCAAACCTTGAGTGTTGTTGCAGTTTTGGTCTCCTAGTCTGAGGAGGGATATTCTTGCTACTGGGGGAGTCCAGCGAAGGTTTACCAGACTGATTCCCGGGATGACAGGACTAACATAGGAGGAAAGAGTAGATCGACTAGACTTGTATTTGCTGGAATTTAGAATAATGAGGAGGGGGTGGGTGGTGGCGGGTGTGGATCTCGTAGAAAATCCTGATGGGACTGGACAGGCTAGATGCAGGAAGAATGTTCCCACTGTTGGGGAAGTCCAGAACAAGGGGTCAAAGTCTAAGAATAAGGGGTGAACCATTCAGGACTGAGGTGAGGATGAATTTCTTCACTCAGAGTTGTGAACCTGTGGAACTCTCTCCCACAGAAAGCTGTTGGGGCCAATTCATTGGATAGAGGGAGCTGGATGTGGTCCTTACTGCTAAGGGGATCAAGGGGTATGAAGAGAGGACAGGAATGGGATACTGAGATTGCATGATCAGCCATGATCGTATTGAATGGTGGTGCAGGCTCAAAGGGCTGAATGGACTACTCATGCACCTACTTTCTATGTTTCTGTAAATTGTACAACTGGTAGTGAAAATGAACAATGATGCATCTCTTACTACAAATTGTGACTTTTCCTATTATATTGTTATACTTTTGTAACTCATTTCTTCGTGGTGTGCATGTGAAACTGATTGATTTGACTACTTGTTCCAGTGGAGAATGCCCTGTATGCAACACATTACTCGAATCAATTCAGTTGAGTACAGAAGAATATCACGTATTAAGAGAGTGTGTGATGAACGACATTATTCAAGGGACAGATACATTTAAAAAGACAACTCCTCAGGTAAGCAGTGTAATTTGTTCAAAGTGGTGTTTTCAAGTTATTAACATTTATAGCAGCTGTCTATTCAATAGTTTTTAATTGAAATTATTACAAAAATTATGGCCATGAATCAGTAAAGTTATAGAATTATTTGGCTCTGCTTGAATTCTAATTATTGTAAGATTGATTTTGTGCTTTGGCAGAGCTGCAAATATTTACAGGTATCTGCTTAGCTCTCAATCATCAAAAGATGTACAGGGAGTTTTGACATGTACATTTCTGGGTGCTTTGTCACTGCTCCCTAAAAATTTAGTTGGAGTAACTAGCATGTTCAGCAGAGTTTTCACGATCTCAAACCTTGCATCACAAATATTAGAGTTTCAGGGTAATAGTTTGCACTATTTTAGCCTGCTTTAAATAAAGCCAGTATAGTTTGAATGAAATTACTATTTAAGTAACAATTTAGAAAAGCCAACTGACTTCATGGTGTCATAGAGGTAGGCTACAAGTAATACCTTTTAAGGAAGGGTCATAGAGGCTTAGGAAAATAACTCCAGAGTTTAGGGCTAAGGTGGCTGAAGGTACCAATAGCATTAAAATTGTCGATGCACAAGAGGCCAGAATAGGAAGTGTGCAGGTAGTTTGGAGGGCTGGAAGAGGTTATAGAAATAGGGAGAGGCAGAACAATGGATGGAATTGAAAACAAAGGTGACAATTATAAAATCAGTGTTGGTAATCTAGTAAATCAGCGTGCATGGGTGATGGGATGGATAAGACTTGGTCCAAGTTAGGATATGGGTGGCTGATTTATGGATGGCACAATGGGAAACTGGCCAGAAAGAATCGCTGAAGTCATCAAGTCTCGAGGTAGCAGAGATATGACAGAGAGTTTCAGCAGGATCTGGACTAGGATATATTTGGAAACAGATGATGAAACTAGGCAGTCTTCAGTTGTAACGAGTCATTCCCACCTCTGACCGAGTATTAAGAAAGTTTGCCTACAAGTGACATGATCACTTGACCACATACTCTATACAGCTGCATCCTATGCAGCAGCACCACCAGCTTGTAAAATTAGAACTTCTTAAATTGATGGGCAAACCTGTTGATTAAGACTATTAACGTGTCCCCAATTTTAGAAGCTGCCAAACCAGTTCCTAATGAAACCTGTTTGCCTTTGCTAAAACCCATCATTGGGCAAATGCCATTATTTCCTGTTTTATACCTACAATAAATTATTAGCAAAAAACTTTCAGACTACTTTTTTTTATAATTTAGGCAGTCCTTATAATAGGGGACAAAGAAATGGCTGAGGAACGGAATGCATACTTTGGTTCTGTCTTCACAGAAGAGGACTCAAATCAGATACCAGAATTTTTGGAGGATGCAAGATTTAGTAAGAGGGAAGAACTGAGAGAGATCAATATTTGTAGAGAAATGGTGCTGGGAAAATTGTTGAGATTGAAGGCCGATAAATCCCCGGGGTTTGATAATCTACATCTCAGAGTACTAAGGAAGTAGCTCTAGAAGTAGTGGATGCATTAGTGGTCATCTTTCAGGATTCTACAGACTCTGGAACAGTCCCTGCAGATTGGAGGGTGGCTAATGTCACTCCAATATTCAAAAAGGGAGCTAGAGAGAAAACAGGGAATTATAGACTGATGAGCCTCACATCGGAATTAGGGAAAATTCTCGAATCCATTGTCAAGGATTTTATAGCAGAGCATTTAGAAAGCAGTGGCAGGATCAGACAGAGTCAGCATGGATTTATGAAGGAGAAATCATGCTTGACAATTCTGTTGGAATTCCATGAAGGGTTGTAGAGTTGACAAGGGGGAGCCACTCGATATAGTATATCTGGACTTTCAGAAAGCGTTTGACAAAGTCCCACGTAAGAGATTAATGTGCAAGATTAGAACATAGAACATAGAGTACAGCACAGTACAGGCCCTTCAGCCCACGATGTTTTGCCGAACTTTTACCCCAAACCTAAGGTCTATCTAACCTCCACCACTACCTTACACTATCATCCATATGCCTATCTAATAGCCGCTTAAATGCCCCTAATGAGGCCGAATCCACTACCCTCTCCAGCAATGCATTCCACGGTCCTACCACTCTGAGTAAATAACCTACCTCTGACGTCTCCCCAATATCTACCTCCTTTCACTTTTAAAACTATGTCCCCTCGTAAAAGCTACCTCCACCCTAGGAAAAAGTCTCTGGCTGTCTACTCTATTTATACCTCTGATCATTTTGTACACCTGTATCAAGTCACCTCTCATCCTTCGATGTTCTAAAGAGAAAAGCCCTAGCTCTCTCAACCTTTTCTCGTAAGACCTTCGCTCCATTCCAGGCAACATCCTGGTAAATCTCCTCTGCACCTTTTCGAATGCTTCCACATCTTTTCCTGTAATGAGGCGACCAGAACTGGACACAATACTCCAGATGTGGCCGAACCAGGGTTTTGTATAGCTGGAGCATAACTTCACGGCTCTTGAACTCAATCCCTCTATTAATGAAAGCTAACACACCATACGCCTTCTTAACAACTCTATCCACCTGGGTGGCAGCACTCAGGGAACTGTGAAAATGAACCCCAAGATCCCTCTGCTCCTCCACACTGCCAAGAATCTTTCCGTTAACCCTGTATTCTGCTTTCAAATTTGTCCTTCCAAAGTGAATCACCTCACACTTCTAAGGGTTAAACTCCATCTGCCACTTCTCAGTCCAGCTCTGCATTCTATCAATGTCCCATTGTAACCTAGAACAGCCCTCCGTACTATCCACAACGTGACCCACCTTCGTATCGTCTGCGAACTTGCTAATCCAACCTTCCCCTCCTTCATCCAAATCATTTACAAAAATCACAAATAGAAGAGGACCCAGAACAGATCTTTGTGGTACACCACTCGTAACTGAACACCACGTTGACTATTTTCCGTCCACTACCACCCTTTGTCTTCCAAGGGTCAGCCAATTCTGAATCGAATCTGCCACATTTCCCCCTATCCCATGCCTCCTTACCTTCTGCATGAGCCTACCATGGGGAACCTTACCAAAGGCCTTACTTAAATCCATGTATACCACATCCACTGATCCACCTTCATCCATGTGTTTGGTCACCTTTTCAAAGAATTCAATAAGGTTTGTGAGGCATGATCTACCCCTCACAAATCCATGCCGACTATCACGAATCAAACTGTGCCTTTCCAAGTGATCATAAATCCTGTCTCTCAGAGCCCTTAATGCGCATTGGATTGGAGGAAGTGTGTTGAGATGGATGGGAAAATGGTTGGCAGAGAAGAAACAGAGTAGGAATTAATGGGTCATTTTCAAATTGACAGGCAGTAGCTAGTGGGGTGCCACGGCGATCGGTGCTGGGACCCCAGCTATTCACAATATATATTAATGATTTGGATGAGGGAACAAAATGTAACATCTCCCAAGTTTGCAGATGATACGAAGTTGGGTGGGAGGTTGAATTGTGACAAGGATGCAGAGATCCTTCAGCATGATCTCGACACGTTGGGTGAGTGGGCAAATCAAAGGCAGATGCAATATAATTTGGGTAAATGAGTTCATTCACTTTGGAAGCAAAAACAAGAAGGCAGATTATTACCTCAATGGCCATAAATTGGGAGAGGGAAGTGTGCAATGGGACCTGGACGTAAGGTAAGCTGAAGGTAAGCATGCAAGTACAGCAGGTGATAAAGAAAGCAAATGCTTTGTTGGCCTTCATTGTGAGAGGTTTTGAGTTATTGCAGTTGTACAGGGCCTTGTTGAGACTACACCTGGAACACTGTGTGCAATTTTGGTATCTTTTTCTGAGGAAGGATGCTCTTGCTCTTGAGGGAGTGCAGTGAAGGTTTACCAGGCTGATTCCGGGGATGGTGGATCTGACGTATGAGGAGAGATTTCTTTTTTTCTATTCATTTGTGGGATGTGGGTGTCGCTGGCTGGCCAGAATTTCTTGCTCATCCCTAGTTGCCCTTGAGAAGGTGGTGGTGAGCTGCTTTCTTGAACCACTGCAGTCTTCCTGCTGTGGGTTGACCCACAGTGCTAAGTGGTGATGGTCATAGCCTGGCATTTGTGTGGCACAAATGTCACTTATCACTTGTCAGCTATTGGGGAGGGAATTCCAGGATTTTGACCCAGCAACAGTGAAAGAACGGTGATATATTTCCGAGTCAGGATGGTGAGTGACTTGGAGGTGATGGTGTTCCCATATGTCTGATGCCTTGTCCTTCTAGATGGAAGTGGTCGTAGGTTTGGAAGGTGCTGTTTGAGGATCTTTGGTGAATTTCTGCAGTGCATCTTGTAAATAGTACACACTGCTGCTACTGAGTGTTGGTGGTGGAGGGAGTGGATACTTGTGGATGTAGTGCCTATCAAGCAGGCTGCTTTGTCTTGGAAGGTGTCAAGCTTCATGAGTGTTGTTGGGGCTGCACTCATCCACGCAAGTGAGGAGTATTCCATCACGCTTCTAACTTGTGCCTTGTAGATGGCGGACAGGCTTTGAGGAGTCAGGAGGTGAGTTACTCGCCGCAGTATTCCTAGCTTCTGGCCTGCTCTTGTACCCACTGTGTTAATGTGGTGAGTCTAGCTGAGTTTCTGGTCAATGGTAACCCCCCGGATGTTGATAGTGGGCGAGTCAGTGAGGGTAACACCCTTGAATGTCAAGGGGTGGTGGTTAGATTGTCTCTTATTGGTGAGTCATAGCCTGGCATTTGTGTGGCGCGACCTTGTCAGCCCAAGGCTGGATATTGTCCAGATCTTGTTGCATGTGAACATGGACTGCTTCAGTATCTGAGGAGTCATGAATGATGCTGAACATTGTGCAATCATCGGCGAATGTCCCCACTTCTGACCTTATGATGGAGGGAAGGTTATTGATGAAGCAGCTGAAGATGGTTGGGCCTAGGACATGACCCTCAGGAGCTCCTGCAGAGATATCTGGGAGTTGAGATGATTGACCACCAACAATCACGACCATCTTCCTATGTGTCAGGTATGACTCC